GGTAACGATCGGTGCCCCCCCTCCGCGGTCCCCCCCTCCGCCGTTGTCCCGCTGATCCCGGGCTCCGCTGTGCCCGGTGCGAGCCCGGGATCAGCATGGCGTCTGTGTCACAGGGGATCAGAGGGAGATCGTTACACATGCTCCGTCCCCTCTCCTCTGCAAGAATGCGGAAGTGTTGTATATTACATCACTTCCGCATTCTTGTGTCACTCTCCAGCTTCAGAAGCTGGAAAGAAGCTGATGGAGCAGATCTGTGCTTCATCAGCTTCTTTTGGGGGGTCCTAGGTGACATTAGGGGTCTTGGAGACCCCCTGATGTCTCCATAAAGAGGACCTGTCACATATTTTGCTATCACATAGAGGGGTTTTATTAGCATCCGTATGTGATAGCAATAAAGTTTAGTGGGAAAAAAATAGGAAAACAAAATTAAAGTCCCCCCCAAAAAATTTTAAAACTACACATAAAAAAGAATAAAAAAACAAAAAAATATTTAAAGTCCCCACCCATACATACACGCATGCAAACATGCATCGGGGGCGCATACGTGCAAAAAAGACGATTGCGCCCATTATGCCGCACATGTTACATATCGCCGCGAACGTCGGAGTGAGAGCAATAATTGTAGGGCCATCAATCACTGATAACACTAAACTGATGAGCGGTAAAAGCTTTTAAAGTGTCGCCTATGGCCAATTTTGGGTATGGTAGTTTTCTGCGGGTGCGTGCAATTTTAAAGCTTGACATGTTTGGTGTCTATTTACCCGACGTGACCCCGACTTTTATATTTTACCAAAAAACTGGGTAATAATAAATGTTTCCTAACATAATGTTAAAAAAACTTTTTCAAAAGTTTCAGTAATTTTTCCTAATTATAGTAAAAAAATAAAACCCCGTGATGATTAAATACCACCAAAATAAAGCTCTATCTGTCCCTAAAAAATTGTAGAAAATTAATTTCAGTACAGCGTTGCATGACGGAATAAACGTCAGTCAAAGTATCGCAGCGCTGAATACTGAAAAATGGCCTGGCCAGGAAGGGGGTCTAAACACCTGGTCTGCAAGCAGTTAATGTGTACATCTAGTAGAGAAATTATCACCAATATTAAGTAAAGGAAAATGCAATAATACATACAATGTAGGGTTACTCAAGTACCCACTGGCTGAAGATAGCCAGCACATTTGGGTAGTTTGAAAAAGTATATTATATTCTTTTTGTTTTTTTAGCCTTGTGGATTGAGATAACTATTCTCTCTTTTCTATGCATAGATCTCTGGGCAATGCCAGGCTCTAGACACTTACAGAGGGTCAAATAAATACAATTTATGAACAAAAATGAAACACTTTTGAGCTACGTTTGTGCTCAGAATTTATTTAAGCACAACATTCAATTCTAGTAAAATATGACTTCCTAATGACTTCCTTGTTTACATGAAAATGCAGTCCCAATGCAAAAACAAGACAATTTGCATTATGTTCTATGGCTTCAGTTCACACCAGCATGCTGAAAAAACTAAGATGCTTCTTTTTGTGTAGCGTGTTCCAAAGAGATATAAAGCATCAAAGCATGCTGCAAGGCATAACCTTGACATTAAGGTTTAGAAAGAAAATTGTAAAGAAATAATGCATGATGAAAGAAATAATGCATGATAACGCGTGTGTTGTGGGGTGAATGGGATCATTTTAGAAAGCGTATGTTTGTTTTGCAAAGTAAAAGCTCACTTAGGGAATAGATTGAGGCTGTTTCTTTTTTTATTTCCCCCTTGCATTTTGGGGGACTCAATGTTAACACAGCTGCACCTTATTTATTAAAGGAGAACTATGAGGTGAGTGCTTTTCACTCACCTCATAGTTCTAGCCGACCTGTGACAATGAGACTGTCACAGGTCGGCTCAGTAGATCGGGAAGTGAGCGAACACATACCGGCGTTCGCTCACCTCTCGATCCTGTCACGGCTCTCTGGCGTGACAGGGGTGGGGCTGGATTCCCCCCTCCGATCCTCCAGCGCTGACTGGCGGAACGGGGAACGGACGGGGGAGGGGGCGGGTACAGATGGATCTGCCTCTAGATAGGTAGAGCCAGCTGTTACTCGCGCAGCTGGGCGGATCCAGACATAATTGTCGGGATCCGCTTCAGATGCGGCGTCTCAGTATACCGCGAGCTGTAGCTCCCGGTATACTGAGCTTAGGGTGACCGGAGGACGCTAGTTTGTGTCCTCCCGTTACCCTAAGGAGAACCATGGGGAAAAGCCCTTGTGAATTGGTGTTGAGAAGAATAACTTAATTATTAGTAGTTTATAAAGAAAAATTATTCCAAATAATGGACAATAGGATGATAAAGGAAACGAATACCAAGGAAATGTTCTATACTGTTTCCTCAGCAATATCTCAACAATATTGTTTTTTCATTTTCGATGTGGAACAACATATTGGATGTTTACTAAACACCAGTCAGTCATGATTTGAAATACTATAGCTTTGATTGTTGAACTGCTTTGGAGCAGAAAAATTATTTAATCATGGGCACAAATTGTGCAAGACGTGCACGTGGATATATTCATTCTAAAAGGACAAGCCACAAATTCTAGTCTCCTTGAGGAACAGACAATGCTGGACCTTTGGGGTCATCAAATTTATCATTTGTAGTTAGCTGCATAATCATTAAAATTCCATATGACAAGATCCACAACAGGATAACGGTAGACACAAGACCCATCCAAATGGCTGGAGTAAAAAATGAGGAGCAGTCACTTGCATAGGAGAAAAGGTTGTTCTTGATGTTGAATCCTTGAATCTGTAAAATATAAACTATGTGTTACTACTTAGGTCATGTCTCAGAACCTTGTGAATATTTATGTCCACTGGCCTAAACAATTTGATCTAGAAATGTATAAACTGATTTATTGAAAATGCTCATAAGATGTACTTCCTCAGTGCAGTGACACATTTTCAATTCATTCTGTGAACATGCACTTCCTTATCTCACCTCTTTATCTAAGCCTGTCATCTCAATTACAACTCCATGTGTGAACTTCCCACAATGCAACATCATCATTGCTTGCTTGAAGCAATGCGTGATGGGATACGTAGTCTTGAGAAATCAAGAGTGCATCATGTCAAGCAGCAGGAAACAGATGCACAGAGCTCTGGGAATCCAGGAAGTTGTTGAAAGTGATGGGCAGATGGAAGGCAGAGCTCAGTACATACAAATGTTTCAAGTAAGCTTTGATTGCATTATTGCAAGTTTGTGGAATGTGGGGTTATGGATTTGGAGTGTTTTTGTGCTCTCTGGTTTGACATTTTACATTTTTGACATTTATTTATTTAACTTTTAAGACAATACATTGAAGCACTGCAAAAAAAAGAAGAAACTCACAAACGAAACTTATAAACGGTTGAACCACAGGCCAATTTGTGTGACGTTGAGGGCTTTAGCTTTATTTTTCCATAAGGTTAAACTTCCCTGTAGTTTTTAGATCTGTTATGGCTCCAACTTCAATTCAGGCCTTTTATTCATGGATAGAGAAATCTGGACTGCAGCCAAAAATATACTGTATATAAAAAGCCTTTTTTTTCTCTTTTTAATGAATCAGATTGGGGTGCTGCTGCTGTATTTAAGCCAGCCATAATGTAGCAGTAAAAAAAAAATTAATTACGCTGGGAAAATTTGCGATGCCAGAATATTACTCTCCTGAAACACCACATACAGTTTAAATCAAGCATGCCATTGAAAGTATTGGTGTTTTCCCCCTGTCATCCTCCAAGTCATACTAAAAGGTGGACCCTCTCCCCCTGTAGAGTATTTTTTTTTGCATTGATACATGTCCTCCATGACAGTGCCCAGCCCCCCCACGCTCTTTGTTTGACAAGCCCTTGCCTATTATTTTGGAAAAAGGCTACAGTTATTTTTCATGATTTGATTTACAGCCTTCAGTAGGGTTTGGATTTAAGTTTGCAGATTTTAGATTTTACGATGGGTTCGACAAATGCTCCACAAAGCAAACCTAGGTACATTACCTCATCCCTTCCAACCACTTCTTGTGACAAGCCCAAAAGAATATTTATTTGTACATTGTCATGAGGCATCTGCAGATCTGACCTTCCTGAGCTGAAGGCTGGTCCATTGATGTCCCTCTTATGTGATATGGGTCATGCTTCTTTTCCAGCAATCACCACTCTAGCTTTATTCACAGATGCAGGACAAGACTAATTGTCACTGCAGCAGTCTTTCAGGTCATCTTACCAATCACCCATAAGGGTGAGACAGGAAACATATTTTCTAAACCTTTCTTATGATCAGCTGGCTGGATCCTGACTATTGTGGTAACATGAATAAGAAAGAAAATGCCGAGCACAAGGATGACTGAGGTCAAGGCAAATGTTCAATTTTTTTTAAATAATATTATAAAACCAAATATTAGGGAAGTTGTACAAGAAAGAGCATGTTTTAAGTTATTTCAACCCTTTCTTAGCCTTGCTACTGCACCAAGCTGTTTTATCCATGACATGCTGGAGCTGTTCTTAATGTTTTTTGAATCACAACTACAAGCATATTTTAAACATCATGCACTGCCTAATAGATATATATAATTAATATTAGTTAAACATTACTCATATATAAAGGATAAATAAAGTAAATTATGAATGTAAGATTTTCAGCTTTTTTTCATATAGTACATAGTAGGGGGTTATTCTCTAAAGAGCCAAAGGATCCAGCCGTAGCTTCGGCTGATCCTTCTGCTCTCTTCGGCCACCTCTGCCCTACGGTACTGTATTCACAATAGCCCGTACAGCAGCCAAAGACAGCCAAGTGGCTCACCCGAGCCGAAGGCATATGCTTCGGCTCGAGTGAGCCAAAGTGACAGCCAAAGCGTGGAGAAAGGTCGGCCGAAGCCAACCAATCTCCACGCAAATGACAGCTGGGCGGAGCCAGCAGTGATCTCACGGCTGGCTCCGCCCAGTTGTTATTCATTGGCTCGGACCTGCTAGAAGACTCTGGCAGGTGCCGGCCAATAGGAAACAGTTGGGCAGAGCTAGCTGTCACTGCTAGCACCGCCCAATTGTTTTTCTTTTGCCTCTGTCAGATGCCTCATTATGCGGCTGGAGTCCATCGCATGTGGTTGGGTCGGCATGCGGCGTTTTAAAATTATTTATATATAGATATAGATATATATATATATATATTTAATTTTCCTTTTTTTTTACATTTTTTAAATCATTTTTCAACTTGTTTTTTTTTTCTTTCTTTTCACTCATTTTCTATTCTGCTTGGTACCTCGGAGGAATAGCCATGTATATATGTTTTGTATATATCACACAAGCCAGTATTCTGGAGACCAAGTTTAAAGAAAAGGGGTATAAAGAAAGGGAAGTGAGGAATACTAAAGATTTAGTTGGCAGAATGGAGAGTGACCAACTTTTGAGAGGAAATAAGACACAAGGAGAGGAGACTTGCTACCACTTGTCCTTTATAACTAATTATACCGCTCAATACAGACACTGTGAGAAAATTATCAAGAAACACTGGGGAATTTTAAAGATGGATAGGATAATTGGCCCTTTAATTTCCAAGAAACCACAAGTTATATACAGAAAAGCACCCTCCCTTAAAGATAGGCTGGTACACAATGTAGTAGACCCACCACCAAAGATTAAGAATTATTTTGGAGGGGTGGGATTCTATCCTTGTAAGAACTGTAAATGTTGTAGAATAACCAAAAAGGGGGGAAATGGAAGAAAAACACATTTCATTTCAAATTCAAATGGAAGACAATTCGAAATCAAAGAATTTGTTTCCTGCCATACATCATACGTAACCTACGTATTGGAGTGCCCTTGTGGCCTACAATACGTAGGTAGGACTACTAGAGAATTACGTATAAGAATTGGGGAGCATATAAATAATAAAAAAATTGATTTGATCAGCATAGCGTTTCAAAACATTTTAAACAGGTCCACAATAAAAACCCTTCGTTGTTGACTTTTTATGGAGTGGACAGAGTATTCAGCCAGTGGAGAGGTATTAATAGAACTAGAATGATCTCACAGAATGAGACGAAAATGGATCTATATGCTGGATACAATGTATCCTAGGGGTTTGAATGTTGAATTGGACCTAAACTGTTTTATCAGTAACTGCTGAGGTGGAAATCACTGGAGATTGATATAAGTCCTTTGTATGCTATCCACCTTCCCTCTTTTGGAGAGTGAAGGATGTATTAACTTTTAGTTTCTGGGATAAAAATACAAAATCCTTCCTTGGTATCTTTAGGTTGCCATGCTGGCAAGATGGCCAATTATATGTTAAATGTGAGGTTATTATGCAATCTATTTATCAGAGGATAACGGTATATTTCATGTGTGGGCCCATTAGTTTTAAATGGGATAGAATGACATCTGATGGGAGGTTTGGAATATAGTTTCAAGATAATGAATATGTGTTAATTTGAATACCTATCATGAGGGGTTAATGCAAATTTATGGAAATTTATTTATGAGCCTAAAGATCCTAATGACCTATAGTACCATCTAGGGGGTTGTAGATCTTGAATCTAATATTATACATGTTTTATACTAGGATGCTTTTAGTTAATGATTTTATAAGATACACATTGGGTAGTAGAAATATGGTAGATTCCTATATATGGACCAAAGGAAACTCCCATCGGGATATGCAAATGTAATATCTGGGTATGTAAATGTGGTATCTGGGAAATATAAAAGGAAATAGAGTCAGTGTGTATGCTACCCTTGAGAAAGTCCATTGGACTTTCTTCAGCTCATACAAGCCGATTTTATGTTTTTACAGCGCTGAAAAACTCTTTTAAATGTAACTGTTCTGATTTTTATGAATAAACTATCATCTAGCAGTTTTACACTATGTGCGATCTTGGTTTTCTATTTTGAGCGGAAAAGAGAGATTTGGGAGAGACATCGGGCGGACTCATCATTTTCAGCTGTTGGTGATTCGGTGGAGAGGGAGACATCGGACACCAGGGAAGTTTGCAGAGCGTTTAAAGACCAATGGGTGGTCAGAATTATCTGGTGAGTGTGCTAGTGTTTGTGCACCTGGAGGTGGATCGCTGTTGATTAATTGTCGAGGAATTGAAGCACAGAAGTCACGAGTGATTGTGGAACTTTATATGCAATGATTATTTGACTCACTGATGTAATACAAAGAAAGTGAACACAAGGATTTCATCACATTTTTATTTTTGATCATATCATTTTTGGGAAAATTTTTATATGGACTATATATAAGTTGGAGTGAACATTTTGTATAATTGTCACTAAGTATATACAATTAGAGTTTATAATATTAGAGATAGCGCAGTGTTTTTTTGTTTAATAAGATTATCGCATTTAACCCAGGCTATATAAACCATTTAAAGATTTTATTAAAACCTGTCTTCAGGTTAAAAAAAAATCCCTATGCAATGGGGCTACCCCCGCACTGCAAGGTGCTAACTGCTCGTTGATATATAGGGGAGCTGCGTTCAGGTCTTTTTCGTGCCTGATCCTCGCTCCCCCAGCTTGCTTCTTCCCCCTCCACTCCTGTTATGGACTGTCCCTCAGCATCCTCATGGATAATATAGAGCTGTGGGCCCTGCATTAGACATGATGACATCAAGAGGCATCCAACCACAGAAGAGGAGGGGGAAAGAAGCTGAGGGGGCCGGTCTTGTAGTCTGCAGGAGCAGTGATCAAGTAAGTAAAAGTCCTTTACACAGCTCCCCTAGGTATTAATGAGCAGTGAGGGGGCAGCCCCACTTCAATGGCAGTTTTTGTTTACCTGGAGATGGGCTTTTAAAACTATCTTATCAAACTTGCTATGTTTTTGAAAAATATTCTGTTACATTAAAATGTTCATAGTAAAGATCTGAAGATCAACTATAACTGACAATAAAAATTAAAAATAAACATTTTTAGGTGTATTTTACTAAAGGATCGTGTTTATGCTGGCTGGGAAAACCTATGCATGCTTCAAACTACCAGTTTCATGTAGGGTAATTCAAAAAATTCTCCTGCACATTTATTGGACCTTTATAAAAATTGCTCCTCTAATAAATCAATCCCATGTCATCAATTCCCAGTTTCTCTAAGAATTATGTGAAATACAGAGCTCTGTTCAGAGCTGTTTTCCTAATATTAAATATATTTTTTGCAAACAATCTTGTTTTGCTGTTCATGGGGAAGACGGCCAAAACATTCATAGCCCTATCATAAAAATAAATCTTAGAAAATCAGCTAATCAGATAGCGGTGTTGAAGGACAGATAATGCCATACAAAATACATATCACAAGTGATACATCTATTTCACTTAATCCAATTCATAGCAGGCCAACACCACAAGGGTTTCTTCAGAAAATATCATAAATAGCACTGTATATTATCTCAGCATACTATGCAGTAAAACAAGATTTGTTAGAGCCAATAAATCATCCTTCTATCACAAAATGTGTGAGAATATACAGGTACTTCAGCTATGAAAGCTCTCACCCAGCCCTAAGAAAACTTTAATATTACAATATCTTTTATCTAACACCCATTTATTGTGGGGGAAAGCTAGGATTCCCATCAGCTCTATAACCATAAACTGTCTATATCTGCCTCTTAGATTCTCCCGCGGATGAGAAATCTCCCCAGGTAGGCCGCCCTGAAAACAATAAAAACCTAACAGAGTTTTTTATATGTATGATATTAAATTGTTCTCTCCATTTGAAAATACTTGCTAACTGACTGTCATAACTATCTGTCTATCTATCTGTTGTCAGTACTTTCTGACCTGAACCAAGTGGACCAAGTCCTGACTCAACTTCATTGGTTTCACACTTTTCACAGGTCAGAGACTAATACAATATTGAAGCCAGCACCAGCCAAGCATGTACACGTTTCTACATATTTCAATCAGTACAGACTTACTATAATGAACACAAATTGATAATCATTTCTCCCTATATTCATTAATGCAGTCTATTCTCTCACTGCTGTTCGGGATCTTTCAGAATAGCCCGAACAGCAGTGAGAAGCCTGCCGGAGGTCCAGATGTTGGATCGGCTGAGTCGAACTCCTTCTGCACTTCGGGTCAGCCGAACATGCTGAGCATGTTTGGCTGATCCGAAGCCACACGAAGCAAGCCGATGTACTGCTGATTTCAGCCGATATACGGCTGAAATCAGCCGTACCAGCCTGAAGTGAATAGCCGAACAGTGTTCGGCTCACTTCACTTCTGATCGGTCATTCACTCGGCTGCCTTCGGCAGCTTTGTGAATAGACCCCTATGTGGTTCTCCAGTCTATGGAATTAATTTGTAAGCTGAAGTCTGCTATGTAGTTTAGTTATTGCAGCTCAGTAATAAACTACCGTTGTTTAGAGTTTTATTACAAAATTCATAAATATTAACTAAAAAAATACATAAACATGCCAGATGTTAGTTAGCACATGTCATAGTCATGAAATCGTATTCTTCCTATACAAATCTAAAAAGTTTACCTTGAGTTTTACTTTAAGCAAACATCTTAGTGAATTTCACTAATTCTTACAGTTATGCACAAGCTGCAGTAGCCACAAATGATAAGAATCCCATCTGCCACTGAGGTAGTTCAAACAAATAATACATATCAGAAGAATCTGGTAATGACACATGCACATAATATCAAATGAGTTGGTGATAAGTTAAGAACTGTGTACTCTAATGTTTTCCTTCTACTGCCCAGGGCTGTTACTGCAGTTGGTGCTCTGTCTAGGTATTTTTTTAGCTTGTTAATGAAAAATCACAGTTTCTATAAACCGACAGATTGTTCTCTACATAGCCCATAGGTAAGGATAAAATACAAATCTATCTTGACATTTTTTTTTTAAACAAAATATTGCACATGACTGGATTTTACAATACATAAAAAATAGGAATGGAAAGTTCCATTATCAGTGTAAAAACTTTTTATAAATTGGTGACATATAAATTACAGTTTTTATTTGAACTGAATTGTTTTTTAATTATGTTGATTCACTAGTTCATTGACCTGATTAAGGCTGAGGGCTAAACAGGTGATTAAATCTCTTGGCTACAGTGCTGCAGTTGTCTCATTTGCAGCACAGTGAAATCAATGGGATGCTAACAAGATAACTGTCGACAAACAGCTAAATCTCTCAGCAGCAGAGAGATTTAATCACCCAGGGAAACTATGGTGCAGTTTATTGGAAAGTAATTTCATATTTTACATGCTTGTTACTTCAAATTTTCATAACTGAATATCTTTCTATATATGTCATATAAACTGTCAGCAGAGACTAATAACTCACACTGATATGACTGAGTGATGCCACTGACTGATTCCTGAATAAAATAATGCCAGAGGTTTGTGCAAATCAATGTCTACTGAAAGACATATTAGTACAGATCACAGATTTTCCTAATTCTTTCTGCATCTGGCTCCAGCCTTCATTGATTCTGCCTCACATTATCATTGCTAGTGGCCTTGGTATTGCTCCAGAAATGGCCACCAATTCCCATTTGCATGTATTCTTCTAGTTCAGTATCTGTCTTTAAACATAGGTAGCTTTGTTATGAATGTGTGTCCTGTCTTCACTTAGAAGGTCCTTCTAGAGCAGGTATCTCAAAGCAAAAATGTCTAAAAGAGTTTCAAACAATGGACTGTTCAGGGCCTATTCACACCTTATACAATAGAGAAAATAACTAAAGATACATATATGTATGAATGTGCAACCGTGTAAAAGCAGGTGCAACTGTGCAACTATGTAATGAGATATTGACCGTTTCAGTCTGTACTGCTGTGTTGTGTAGGGCAAGATTTCTGGCACAAGCTGGAAGAAACCAGAAAGTTCTCTGGGCTAGGGAGACTGATATAGGGAAGATAAAGATGAGTTCCTGTGCTAGCCACCATGGTGGAGCAGTTGTCTGAAGAGCAGTGACACAGTAAGCCTACAGGTACATGAGCAATTAAATCTATTTGCTGCTAAAATATTTAACTAAAAGCACATTCATATCAATGTGTTGCAAATGGGGATACTGGCAATTTATCAGCAGTAAAGTGATTTAATTGCTCATGTAGTCTTAGGCTTACTCAGCGGTGTCCCTAGTCTCTTTGCCGCCTGAGACAGCACACACAGGGGGGGGTGGGGGGGCGTTTGGCCAGCTTCCCGCCCAGCTCCTGGCAACCAGTAACATCACATCTCCCTGACCGGCTCTTAGCAAGCTGGGATGCTCTCCCCAGAAAAGGGATGGCACTGGGCACTATGGCACTGTGCACTATACAACAAACATGGCGTTATAGCCCTTTTAACTCCTAATGGCAAAGAAGTGGTTGTACTGGAATAAATTTGTGTATGAGCTAGTGTCAAGTTTTTAACTGCTGAAATATAAGGATAAGTATAGTGATATGTCGCAGAGAACTTTGTCTTCTTATGGAAAATAATTGTGTTCAGTAAACCTTCAGTAATTATCGATTCCTGCTGATTCTGAGTTTTTCTCAGGTTCCTATGCCAATATAAACTATCCTGTATCAAATCCACTTAGACAAAGAGAAAAAAATTATAGAGGATGAGGAACCTGTGTTTTCAAAGTGCTTGAATAATGAATTGTAATTGTGCTGTTACAAGAATTGGATCATAATGAACAAGCCTCGTACATTAGCCTCCCCCGAGTCTAAAAAGGACACAATTTTATCAATTATACATTTGTATTTGAAAATTAGCACAGACTTTTCTTACCTGGAACTCAGTAATAGTTATTAGCCAGTTGTTAGCTTCAGTGTTGGTGGGAACAAGTCTCTCTGCAGTCAAATAACTTGTCCCCACTTCCTGGCAGTGGTAGGAGTACTCTGCTGGTGAGGAGGCATAAGAAGTTTGGAATGAAGCATTTCTCAGAATATCTTGATTAGGGATTATTAGAACAGATTCTAATTTGAACCAGTTTCTTGCAGAGCCAGTGTAGAACATATTAGTCATAACAAATCTAGAAAGAAATGATAAAATAATCATATAAGTAACATTACAAACAAATTTATGTTGTTCTTTTTAAAGTGGAATTACAAAATATCTTATGGGACTAATATCCTCTAGCAGAGATATTGTTCATTCTGTAGCTGTAATGCCAAATGAAAGGAACTTTATTCATCTTTTGTTTGGACATGAGTAAAAGAACTACTACAATGTAAAGCAATTAAAAACTGTATTCTTAAAGAACTTTAGACATTTTAAAAACTTACCCTTACAGTGAGGCTACTCTCGCATTGCAATTGTAACGTGCTCATTTTGTCTAGGAGGCTGGGAAAAAAAGCCTCCCACAACAGTCAGAGGCAAAACGCTCCCACGGCAAAACGTTCCCACGACAGTTAGCACTCACATCTTTCTACCGAGAGTTAATGCAAGTCAACAGACCTTAGACCACCAGAGCTCAGGGGAAAAGAGGCTACAGGGACCAGCCAGGGATCGAGGAGCAGGTGAGTATGTTTGCTTTATTTGACTCCCCTATACATAATGTGGGAAATTTATCAAAACTGGAGCAGACAAAAACTGGAGCAGCTTCTCACTTCAGTTTGTTCAGTTAATATTTGAAAATGAAACAGAGACGCTGATTGGTTTTCATGCACAGCTGCTCCAGTTTTTGTCTGCTCTAGTTTTGATAAATTCCTCTCAATGAGTACTTAATCCTTGCAGTGTGGAGGTGTAATGCCTTGCCCCGTGGGGTAAGTATATGGATCTCAACTGCGGAGGGTTCCCTCCAATTGGAAGGATGGGGATCAGTTATGCAACTACTCCCTCAATACCCTGTATTTGAAAAAGGCAGAGAGGGAGCTGATTCACATCATACCCCCTGTGTAGTATGAGCGGATCACACTTGTGGTGACCGGTACTGACCGTACTAGCGTCTGGTTGTATACTAGCACAGACAGTGCCAACGTTAGAGTGTTTGGCAATCACTGACGTTTTACTGACAACAATTAAGGAACCTACTTTAAACCGGGTTAAATGGCTTTTAGCTCCAGTACAGATAACAAGGCACAGTGAATTGCGTTCATCTCAACAGCTAATATCAAGCAGGTTTGAGTGGTTATAGTATCAGAAAAGTATAGCAAGGTAAAGTGTATTGAGTTCAACACATCAGCTACTATCAAGCAGGTTTGAGTGGTTATAATATCAGCAAAGTATAGCAAGGCAAAGTGCATTGAGTTCACCAGCTAATACTACCTATGTTCACTGAAGGGCATAAGCCCAGGTACTTGCGCTTTCCCACTCTGGAGAGTGCCTGCTTTGGAAGATTCCGGTGGTAAGGTCTGACTCCTCGGAAGGTCCTGGCCGTGTGGCAAGGTGGACACTGATTGATCAGCGTCCTGCTACAACCAACAGTAGGACGCCGATCAATTAGGCCTTGTTCACACGAAGCGCGGAGCAAATCCGGACCAGAGCAGGTGCAGACCGGATCAAAACTGCGTCCAATGTATTCCTATGGTATTTTGACCTCCAGTTCACATCGCAGCGTGCGGATCCAGACCAGATCCAGACCGGATGAAAAAACTGCTGCAAGCCCTATTTTACCTGCTATGGATCTGGTCTGGAACGCATCGAAAACGCATCTAAAACGCAAAAACGCATGCAAGTGCCTGAAAGCCCATGTTAAGCATGTTTTTTTTTTTTTTTACCCAAACCGGCCCTAAACGCATCAAAAACGCATCCAAAACGCGTCTAAAACGCGGCACAAACCACTGCACTGCATGTGCAGAAACCTGACCGGATCTGGTCTGCATTTGGTGTGAACAAGGCCTTAGTGAGCAGCGGCTTTAAGCCGACTGCTCGAGTGAGATGGGTGGAGTCCCACAGTGCGCCTGTGCAGGACAGAGAATCAGCTCGCAGGTGGAAGAGGGCGGAGACCCGCGGGGCGCATGCGCCAGACGACGCAGGAGCTCAGACCCTAGTAGATGGGATGCTGCGGTGCGCCTGCACAGGGCGCCGTCGGAGACCGCCGGTGGATCGCAACCAGGTATGTCTGTTACAGGAGTTAGCCCTACTGCAAGGGTATGCTTTTAAATTTACTGTAGTTCTTCTTTAAACTAGAAGGTTTTCGTTTGTAATTATTTCTATCACAAGTCTACAAACAAGGGATTTATTTTTCATTTTTGCTAGTTATTCTTTAAAGATTAAGATCACTTTTCAGACCATACTTACTGTAAAGTGATACTAAACTCAGGTATTACCCTTAAAAAAGCATTCAAGTACCTTAACTATTAACAAAAATGTAACATATTTGTGCATCACTTGGATGTAAATCCTCAAATGATCTCTGAATTGGTGCAGCCGCTCGTTGGGGTCGATTGGGGGAGCGCAACATTTTTTTCTGCCCCGGTCGACCATAACTCTGGTTACGCCACTGCACCCATGTTTAGAGTGTAACATGAAACAAGGTCACATAACCACCTCCCGCAACCCACCCCATCCTACCCATTTACCTGAATCATGGGGTTCTTCTCCCTGCAGGCTGCTGTTAAGTTCATACCTTGGTACAGACAGGGACTGGAGCAAGAGACTTCAGGAGTCATTGCATCATGATCCACTGATCGCAGTTGCAGTGCATAAAAGGCTCAAATGCAAAATGTAATAAATGCACTTTTTTTTTTAAATTAATGTGTGTGTGCATTTATTATTTCTTTGTAAAAGCTGGACTATGCCTTTAAAAGTGCCTATAGCCAGTTCAGTTTTAGATAGAATGCAGAACATTTGGAATCTCTAAGGTCAGGTTTTATTGCTTTCTGTGCCCCGGTGGAGAGAGTCATGCTATTTATTTGGTCTCTATTTGTCTCATTGTGCTTAGAACAGAAAGCAATGAGAAGGCAAGATGTCATAGTTGCGTTGATTTTACTGTTTACATTGTTGTACAATGCATCCATTCAGTGCAGAGATCTGGCAGGAGTTACATTATGCTTGCCTGGCCAATCAAGAGGCTGCCGTTGGCAAACCCGGAAGGAGTCTGGGAAAAGATGGCAGCGCGGTGACAGAGAGGAGAGCAGACATCGCAGTGCTGGAGGGGATCGTTTGATAGGTAAGAAGGCCTTAATGTGCTTTAGGCCAGGGTTTTTCTACCTTTTTTCAGAAATGGCACCCTTTAAAATCTTGAGGCACCCTAGTTTAAAATGTTACAACCATAAATGTAAGAATGTAAAAAAAGATGTGTGGTCCCTCCAAAATCCATACCAGACCCTTATCCAAGATAGGGGTCTGGTATGGGTTGGGTTTTAAGGGGGACCCCAGGCAAAAACACACAAAAAGTGGGGTTCCACCCTTTACATCACCATTCTCATCAGAATCCTCCTTTCACATCAGAGTCCCCCTTGACATCAGTAGACCCCTTCATATTAGGAAGCTGCTTCCTCACATAATAGTCACCTCCTATAACATCAGTCCTCCTTCACGTCAAAGGCATGATGCTATGTGAAAATATTGAGGCACCCCTGATGATGCAGAAGGCACCCTGGTTGAGAAAGACTGCTTCAGGCAATTTCATGTAATACCATGCACAGCAGGAATCGGGTTGGGTCTATCTAGAGGCAGAGCCAGCTGTACCCGCCCCGTCCATTCCGCCAGTCAGCGCTGGCGGATTGGAGCGGGGAGGGGGGAATCCAGCCCCTCCCCTGTCACTGCAGAGAGCCGTGACAGGATCGAGAGGTGAGCGAACGCCGGTATGTGTTCGCTCACCTCCCGATCTACTGAGCCGACCTGTGACAGTCTCATTGTCACAGGTTGGCTAGAACTATGAGGTGAGTGAAAAGCACTCACCTCATAGTTCTCCTTTAATAAATCAGCCCCTTAGTGTACTTACTAGCTGTCTGTCCACAGTTTCACATTACATTCTATGTAAAATCATGTTTAAAACACACCTTACTTCAAGACTTGTAAGTCCATTTCCAGGAGAAGAATATATCAGGGATAATCTAAAAAAATAAAAAATAAAAAAAATGATCTTATAACTATAACCACAATTATTTAATGTGTTCTATGTGAGAAAATAATAATGTAAATATTTGAAAAGAAAGCGGTCATTTTACATCATATAGTACTTGACCTGAACAGATGTAGCATTTGTAAACCATTAGAAAATAAAAGAGAATTATTCACATGTAGTTATTTATACAGCTTTATGCAGAAGTGTTGATAAAGGTAGAGGAATTTAACAATCCACAATTACAGAACAGAGAAAACATGAATAGAATTGCGAATTGTTTATAAATAGACCCCAAACAGTTCTGTTGTCTTCTTTCTTCATAGACAGTTATCACCATCCTAAGGCTGCTGTTAAAAGTGTGTTTGCACTTTTACATTCAAATTTGAGAAAACCCCACTATTTGTTTGTCATGTGTTCCTATTCACACAGCATACCTAAAAATAATTAAAAACAAATATTTCTTACCTTTTATATACATCTTTGGAGCAGGCCTTCAGGCAGATTGTAAGCTACTCTGGACAATTTAAAGTGAGTCTGTCCTCAACATATAGCGGGGACAGTGTGAGTTTACTCTCATTACCTAAAATGTTTCCAGATATTTATCCCTTTTTTAGGACAGACAGTGTTCAAATCTAGTTTACAACCGATAATAAAATCTGTCAGCACAGTACAGACAGGGTGCATTATGGCATTAACTCCCCAGCCCCAACACCCCTTGAAATGACACAGAATGGATTTTAAAAATATTTTTTAAGTTATTCTAAATTAATAGGTACACGTTACAATTATAAAATATGTTATCCAGGTTTGGCTGCAAAAGTGGATATACACTTTAAATAGTGACAACCAGGGAGCTAATCTTAAAATGACTTTAACATTGATTTTTTTCTAATAAAAAAAACACACTGACAGTGAGACCCCATTCACACTGAGCTACATAAAAAAAAAGCTTTTTCAGTGCTGATTTGAGCTGAGCGACATTGAGCTACATTGGGCTACAGTGCACATTTTGTCGCACTACGTAGCGCTTCTTTTGGCAGTCTATCAAAACCTATTGGGACCAAATCGTACAAAATCCGCTGGAAAAATAGGTCATGTTTGAGCGACAAGCTTGAGCTACAAGCTACAGGCGACATTGAGCTCTGAGATGTGAACAGCTCCATTGAAATGCATCGGACGAGCTACATTGAGCAATATTTAAGCATTTTTTGAGCGGAAATTGCGCTACAAATCGCTCAGTGTGAATGGAGTCTTATTATATTAGCAGTAGTAGTGATAAAATACAACTCCTAACAGAGCTGACTAAATAAAGCATGTTTTACGTGTTTGTGAACTGATATCTGCAAGTTATGAAGTAAATAAGGTGTTGTATCAAGTAAATAACACCAGAACAAAAGCAAAACAGGTTTGTGAATGGAGCCCCATCTCATGAGTATAAAACGTTGTTGGTTCATTACTTCATACCATTTCTCGGAAATTACTTACGTGGTATTGTAATCAGAACATTGAGATTGGCTAGTGTTTGCTGTACGCGCTCCAAATGTCACATTTGTCAGATCAAATGCTGCTGTGCTATTGGCAGTGATCACAAATTTGGTTGCATATAACAGAATACAGGTGTCTGTTCCATTTGTCACATTTAATGGTGGATATGGAACTGTCACATCAGTGGCCAGCAGCTGTCGTCCATGTTTTTGCACCACGTCAAAACTCTTTGCAACCTTTAACAAATATACACAAAGTTATAAAAAGTAGTTTGACATTATTAAAAGTCCAAATCAGTTGTATAAATCTAATAAACTAATGTAACCAGTGTACTATAAGAATCACTGACTATATATTTTTCTATTACTGCAAACCTCAAATGTGGAAGATGTGCTAAGAAAAATAGTCAAGTGGAGGGCCAAGGACGAGTCACTAGTATTACTTCAAGGCTCCTTTCAGCTGATATTTTCCCTCTGATACCTCATTCTTCGATGTGTCTCCGCGTGGGAGTGGCCATCATGGTGAAGTAGCAAGCACTGCTTTCTCATTTCAGACCCACCTCCTTCATGACTGGTGATCTTATGAGCTGATGAGTGGTGAACTGATTTTATTATATACTACAGCTACACCTTTAAGCTTGTATGACATTTTCTGTCCTGACCATTGATTTCATCGGTATCGGGTACCGCATTTGGTACTTACCTTATATTTTAGGAATAACATTTTTTTACAACTTTATTTGCTCTGCTGGAAGCATTTGATGCATTTGTGTAATAATATGACCATGTATGAAAAACCCCAGATGGGACACAGACTGGATAGCTTAGCGAAATGTTTACTTGCATCTCTGCCACTTAAAGATGAACTCCACCAATTCAAACATGTGTTCAGTAAATCTCATTATGCATATTTTAAAAGAAAATAATGTATAGTAAGTTCTTAAATTTGACTTGATATTAGCCCCTTGTAATCCCGTGTACACCAGAGCTCAGACTGGGAGAAAGTAGAAGCACACAAGGAGCCAATCAGTTATTATTATTATACAGGATTTATATAGCGCCAACAGTTTGCGCAGCACTTAATCAGTTGTGCTCATGCGGATAGTTGGAGAAAACAGAGAGATAAAAGCATCAGTCTTCTGTTTCTCCTTTCACTGTCCATTCACAGGGTGGGGACAGAAAAGCACCTGGTTGTATTATTTAACTGCAGTAGGGAAAAGTCAGGGAATCAGTCTGATTCTGTTGCCTAGTAGGGCTGTGTAAATGAAATACAAATCTATTTGCTGGTAAAACAAAGGTCATATTTATATCTCATCTGTATATATCTGTTTGCCTGGAGTTCAGCTTTAGATGACACATGTCTTGAGATAGACATGGCGCCTTGGTTATCCTTCTAAAAAGGTAAGCTGCCATGCTGGCCAAGTGGCTTCAATACATTCTAAAACTGCCCAACGGCCCATATACTTTCGTTGTGCGATGGTTGTAAGGTGATTAAAATTCTGTACGATCTGCCCATCTTGGACAGGCAGATCGTACTTGCGATCATCGTAAGCCCTCCACGCTGAGGGGAGGGCTACCGATGATTGCAGTGCTGAGCGAGCAGTGTGCGCTTGCGCACACCGGCCCGTGCGGCATTCCTCTTCCGAGCACGCCACCAACCCGCCGAAAATCGTACGATTTTCGGCAGGTTTTCCAGCGTGCTCGGAAGACGAAAGTCGTACGACCTTACAGTAGAAGCGGTCACACGCTGCCCATACACCTTAAGACAGGGGTGCCCATTAGGTAGATCATGATCTACCAGTAGCTCTCAAAGCTGATGCTGTTAGATCACAAAGGGTGTGAATGGTGGCCCCTATATTTATTTAGCTGTGCACACATGATTACCTATTAGCCTGAGTCTGCTGAGCCAAGCTCCCTGACACCTTTCTGGTGGATACTGGTGGTTAAAGTGCTATGTATTACATCAAAGAATATTAGTTTACAAAGCCTGTTGCACTGCACTGTTTGCAAAATACAAGGTGAGCCTGGAGAGAGAGCAAGGAGAGACAGCCAGGAAAGAGAGAGAGGAGGGACAGCCGGGGGAGAAAGAGCAAGGAGAGACAGCCAAGAGAGAGAAGAGAGACAGCCAGGAGAGAAAACGAGGAATGACAGGCAGGAGAGAGAGCGAGAAAAGACAGCCAGGAGGATGAGCAAAGAGAGACAGCCAGGAGAGGGAGCAAGGCGAGACAGCCAGGAGAGGGAGCAAGGAGAGACAGCCAGGAGAGCAAGGAGAGACAGCCAGGAGAGAGAGAGAGAGCGAGGGAGGTTTTTTTTTCGTTGGTAGATCTCATGTAGCTCGTCATTTGAAAAGTAGATCTTAATGCAAATAATTGTGGGCACCCCTGTCTTAAGACAATGACCCGGAATGAGTGTGCAGAAGAGGACTTGCAACTTCCTGTTATTCGTACTTGTTCCAGGCGACTCAAGTGATTTAAATCAGTGGGTAGGCATATCAGCTAGGTGATTAGCATTTGCAGAAGGAGGTCATCAGTGGTGGCACCCATATTTCTCTTATGGCAGGTTTACAGTATAGGTCTATGAGGAATCATTTGCCATGCACCATCCAGGAAATGTGTATGGGTAGGTGTGGTGTAAAAGAGATTATCTAGTCCCAGGCCATGGTAATTTTATAGGAATTCTAACCACTTTAAACTGGTTAAGCTTAGTAAAAATTGCTGAATAATTTTAAAAAATGGCGCAATTCCAATTTCTATTTTTGTTCTGGTGCACAGACAGTTCATTAAAAGGAATAGACTGCGTTAAGAGAATCCACGTGAAAGTGTGACATACGCTAGGGACCGGGATAGCAAGGGACAGGAAAGGTGTGAATGCACCTTAAGACTTTAAACACCTTTTGTTTTAATGCATCTGTAATGTATTTAGCTGATTTAAACTGAAAGCTTAATCAGGCCTTAAGGTCTTCCTTTAGGGGTTAAGTTAAAGTGGAACTAAACCCTTCAATATTCACCTCCCCTCCAGCAGGCTCCCTCACCAGTGGCAACATCTTTTCTCCGCTTCTTCCAGGTTTGCGGTGTTTGGTCATCTTTCTTGGCTTAGACAGAATGACGTAACTCCCGTATACGAGAGTCCAATCATCCCGGCACCAAAGCATCTTGCAAGGAGGAAGGTAAGAAACCTTTTTCACCAAAGAGATATTTTTTTTTTTCACTCTTGGCACTAATTTTCTACTCTGCTCGGTACATCGGAGGTGCCGAGCCGAAAACCACTCAGCGGCATTCCGATATTCACTCACTGGCGTTCGCCCCTATGATAATAGGGGCGAACGGCAGCGAGTGAGATGCCGGAGCTTGCCAGAGCTTCGGCTCCGTGGATCCAGATGTTGGAGCGGCTGAGTCGAAGTCCCTTTGCACTTCTGCTCAGCGTTCGGCTGACCGAAGGCAGCCAATGTACAGCTGATTTCAGCCCATGTATGGCTGAAATCAGCCTTACTGAGCCGGAGTGATTAGCCGAACGTTGTTCGGCTCTGTTCACTTTGGCTCGGTTATTCACTCAGCTTGTGAATAACCCTGTAAGTGTTAAGGTGGAAGAGAGTCCTATTTTAGAGATTTAGAAAGGACACATTAGATTCCATCCACAAAGCTTTAACACAAGGATAAGTAATCTCATATTAGCCATGTGATTATTATTTTTCAAATCTCATTGGCCCTAAAGTGGAACTAAACCCTCCTATTCTTTTGCAGCCAAAGACGGCATCGTCTTATCCTTTATTTAGATCTTCAGTTGCTATGGTGCTGCACATGTGGTCAACTATGACACCAGCCATTTGAGGGCTTGAAAGTTTGGTTGAGAGCTGACATAAGGACATTGACAACTATGACAGTTATCACCAGAGGTATTCCATGAATTTAACTGTTTTGGGAAACCCATACATCAATGGGTTTAGACCCACTTTAATTAAATATAACTGTCACTAAGTAACTAGTGTCCTTATCTTGGTGTGTTAGCTTTCTAAACTGAGCCTATTGCATGTTAAAAACAGGTAAAGTGTTAGTGTAAAGAGTAATATTTTTGTATTATTTAATTTTGGATAGAATGGGGAAGGATTGGAGCTCATGTCAGTTTTGGCTGCAGCCAGAGGTTCTATTGAAAAGATTCCTATAGTTCCTGTCTGGTGAAAAGGTTGTTCCCAGGACAGGAAGCAAGGGGAATCTCTCTAACAGCAATGCAGACCAGAGTAAATACTCTTTATTAAGTTAAGTAGGGGACTGTCAGCTTTTTATTGTGATCTGTTTCCCTGTTGCAGATATTCCCTTACTACTTGTTTGATAAAATGGTACCCCCAGGAAATTAGGGGACATCTCTTTAATGGAGCCCTGGACAGCAGTAAAGCTGAGAGGGGTTCTAACCCTTTCTCATTCTATTCAAAACCCCCAGAAAATTTTGGGTATAGATACACTTTAAGAGAGCTTAAGGATATTCACCTGATCTCAATGCCAAAAGGTCACGTGCCAAAGACTGGTACACCAAGCACTTAGTGTCAATAATAATGTATCATGCAACAAGACGTATGTGTGTCATGACTTTCTATCAAAGCTTACTTAGTGTAATTTGTCTAGAAGTAAGTGATGACATACTATAAGGGCTTGTTCACACCAAATGCGGTGCGTTCCAGAGTGGTAGCTGCTGGAACGCACTGCAATCGCTCACAAAACTCCCCCCCCGCGTTCAGGGGCGGGAGGGGGTGTGGCGGTGCATTAAAGTAAATGGCACTGCAGCCATGCCCCCCTGCCCGCAGTGCGATCGGAAAACGCAACAAATGCTGCTTGCTCTTTTTTTTGCGTTTTTGCAGTGGAACAGAACGCAGGCAATGTTTTGCCACGCGTCCGATCGCACTGCGGGCAGGGGGGCATGGCTGCAGTGCCATTTACTTTAATGCACCGCCACACCCCCTCCCGCCCCTGAACGCGGGGGGGGAGTTTTGTGAGCGATTGCAGTGCGTTCCCGCAGCTACCACTCTGGAACGCACCGCAATTGGTGTGAACAAGCCCTAAGCATTTTGTCACTGAAACATTAAAAGAAATACTCATGGAACAGATGAGGTGAGATCTATTTCTATTTTTTCATGAACTGAAGGTTACAAAACATCATTTCTATTTTCACACTTCTTCATTTTCCAAGGGAAAGAGGTTTTTCTGATGAAGTCTATGACATAACCTTGCCTTCAGCCTATTTAGTTA